GTGAGTCTCATCGCGCAAGAGAGTGATCTCTCGTGTATCTATATTTCTTTTCGGGTATAAGTACTGTGTGAACTATTTTTGAAAACGCTTGCGTAATCAGTGTCGCTCTTTCGGCTCCTTCTAATTGTTGGCGCCTAGGTTTTCGGTGGTACAGCCACATAATGCGAACAAATTTCAACGTTTGATTATTTTGTTGGCCTTGTTTAACTCCATGACAGGTAGATACTAGTGATCTCTTTTATACATCTCCATCTTCATTGTGAATGTTTAGTGACTTTCGCGAAATCGTCCGAATATCCTGCGATCCACTCACTCCATTCTGTCAGGCTTGAGGTAAACTTCGCAGGGGGTGCATTATCGTGCCATTTTCATTTTTGTTGACAATGACTTCGTGATCCTGGGGCCACCGTATGCAGAAACTGTAGCTCGCCCTTTAGAGCACAGAACGTCCGCGCTTGTTCTGGTCAGCAAGGCACTACAATGCTGTACTTGAAACGTGCTTCTTGAATGTCACTTCTGACACGCTCCCTACGGGCGCTACCTCCATTAATTCATCTATGACGACATAGAACATACATAAATAAGAGTACATCGTTATAAAAAAGTATTTTATTATTATAATTACATGTGACTGTACAAATATGTATGAAAAAATAATACCATGAATATACGAATGAACAAGAACGCTATCTGTACAATTTATGGATAGGCGCAAATCATGCAGGTTCTAAACCATCAACAACTCAACTATAACTTGACTAAAAATAATAACAGTCAAAACATACACAGCAGGAACGAAGCCAAGATTACGCAGAACAAACACAAAAGCTTTCTCACATATGAAGGATACGAGAACTTCATTATCGATATCATTTTATAGCATATTGATAGATGCTAAAGCGTAAATTATGCGCACAATATTCAAATAATAATATAGCTATATATATGTAGGTATGTTGTTTCGATTGGCAAAAAAACATGCGTGTGCCGGCTTAGGTGACGTTGCAATGAATATCTAGCGAACGTTCCAGAAAATGATCAGTGGCCAACGTGAAATCTGATTTTAATGCGATCATTATACCGACATTAGGGATTAATAGATTCAGTAACCAAATATCAACGTACAGAGCTGCAAGTGTAATATAAGATTGCAGTCTACGATGGAGTGGCAGCGTCTAGAGATAGCCCGTTGTACGCCACTTTTAACTCCCAGCTACGACGCAGACCAGCTCACTATCTATTTATTTCTTCCTGAAACGAATAATATTTCTTCAGTTTAGAACTTTAGCGTTTTAAATCATGACACTCGAATAAACGACGGTATTTATGCAACTATCACATGTGTAACGAGAGTGTGAAGTTTAATGCCGCATGTTTATGCGGCAAAAAATCTTTACGATATTTGCAATAAAATAAATTCTACAAATGTTCATACCTGAAACAGTTGTCCTACGTTCGCTTACTTGACTGACATTTAATCTGACGTCACGGTGACGTATGGTCTGGCATCTTTCCTTTCTCTACGGTAGATCTCCGCGAATGGTAGGCAGACGCAGTCAGAACAGGACTGTGAAATGACAACTCACACATCCGGCCATGTAATATGCTGCGACGTAGGCGGATTGTTTGGAAACAACCGTCCGTTGTAGGCGATCCTGGAAGGCAACATTGTAGGCCGTTCGTGTTACCCATGGTGTCCAAAATCATATTGTAAATAATTTAAATTACTGTAGCACCAGCAATGCATCTGACGCTTCTCGCTCTACTCTCTCTCTCTCTCTCTCTGCTCTCTCTCTCTCTCTCTCTCTCTCCCTCTCTCGTCCTCTCTCTCCTCTTCTCTCGCTCTCTCTCTCTCGTCTTTCTACTCGCTCTGTCTCTCTCTCTCCCTCTCTCTCTCTGCTCTCTCCTTCTCTCTCTCTCTGCTCTGCTTTCTCTTCTCTCTCTCTCTCTTCTCTCTTATAATATATATATATATATACTATAATATATATATATATATATATATATATGAGAGCATATACGCATTATGTACGATGTATGTATCATTATATCAACACACCGCCGACAGGCGCTCCAAACGTATATCCGGCACCATGGATAAGTAAAGCGATCCCATTGTAGTCATGAGCTTCTTCTGACCAAACAGGTCAACACAGACTGTGGGCCATGCCGCTGCCACCGTCCCGAAGAAAAATCCGTAAACACTTAGCATGCTGTCATAGTGAATATGAGCTTGTCCTGGTAAGCCAAGGAGAACAAGAGACGTTCCTGCCATGGCCTGTGTTATGTATAACACATGAACACTGCACTGTGCCACTAGCTTCGTGTGAACTAGAAAGCCAGTGAACAACTTTCCACAGATGTTCAGAATTCCCCACATTGTAAACGACCACGAAGCACGCTCTGGGGTGTAACCCTGACTTTCCAAATGATCGTATAGCAACACAGTCCCTGCACTGATGCCAAATCCCCACATAATGTTGAACAGGCAGAAGATTAAATAGCTGACATCTTTCAGCTGACTTAGATCATAGGAAGACTGTAATAGTTCCTTAGCAGACATGGTTGGTTGATCAGTTGGTGGGTCCCTCATGATGGCTCCGACTACACAGCCATTCAGCAGCACTCCGGCACTGATGAACAGAGCTCTCTCCACGTTACACATCGATGAGGTATTGCTGGAGAGGTGCAAGAATCAGAGGAGCTATTCCAACACCAGTTAACGCAATTGCGAATGCCATTCCTTGCCATCTATCGAAAGTACTCTCCCGATTATAGCAATACCAGCCACATAGTTAATCCCGCCACAAGCTCCTGGAACAAAATATGCGCGTTGAAATACACAAACACATAGCAATATGAATGTTTCATATTCAAATTATTTCACCACGTTCTTTAAGAACGAACTAGAGAAGCTTAGAGAGTACCCTGATATGGCTCCACACAGGACGATCAAAGTAGAAATATTAGGCGGGAGGAAGCCACCAGCCTGCCACAGGCAAATGACAGCGACCACAACGCTGGCAATAGACAGTTCTTTGTATCGGAATCCGACTGGCCATATGAACAGTTGCTAGAGGCGCTGAAATGTTAGCAAAACAGTGTCTCATTATGTCAGCGTAAAGACTCTTTATTGTTAATTTTCTATTCACCATTAACGTTCTCTTTTGCCATTTAGTTTGATATATATAAACAAAGAAGGACGTCTCATACATATTTCATTAAGCGAGTAAAACTGTTCAGCACAATAATTCAAACTATGCAGTTTTTAGCTCACCTTGAGATCGGTCAAGCATGAGCTATTGGCCAGGTCGTCGTCCGTCTCGCTTCGTCGTCCGTCCGTCGTCCGATCCGTCAACATTTGCCTCGGGGCAAGAGTAACTCAGGAACCGTTTGACCCAGCATGTTTGAACTTGGGTATAGTGTTACTGCTATGCTCCACAATGAACGTCCTATACTTGGAGCACGCCAGTCGACGTACTTTCGAACGACGGCAATTTTTTGGGCAAAAATGGGCAATTGCCCAATTAGTCAGTTCAGGTTCTACGGGATTTTAGCTCATTTTTGGTATGTGAATGAGTAAAGGCTAGGCCTTTTGAAATTTAAAAAAAATATGCAAATTATGGTATTGTTTGGCAATTATAGTACATATTATATAGGACACGCCAGATAAACAAACAGTCTGTGGTGTCACACTCGTCTGGTTCGTTTACAAGATTGTCATTGACAATATTACACACGTTCACAGCGCCTGGCGCCTGGGTTAAAAGCACGCTTACCGCCCTGTGCTGAGATTTTCGCGTGTTTTACCGGCTTAGTCACCTGATTACAAAAAAATTTCTTTGGCAGGTTAACTAGCCTATAAAATATTTTATATTTGTGGCTAGTATAAATATACGATATAAAACTTAGCTCCTCAGACATCAAAACAACCCGGAATCTATCGCACCCGTGATCTCTCAAATCAAACACAACTTTCAACATAAAAACAACTTCACACACCACGGCGGTCAAAGCGCCCTTCTGGCGAGATGAACTATAAAACATTTACGGCTCAGATCCAAAAACTCATAAATAACGTTTCGCAAACCAACAGTAATTGTATCTGTATAAAATTAATGTCATCTCTCTAGCTGGGGTACTACAGTGACGCTATGAAATTGCTAAGCGCGTATAGGCCCTCCATGCTATATGAGAACATAGTAGACACGTTCAACCAATACATTTTTTTTTTTACTTTATTTGTTTTGCCAGAGAATAAGGAGGTCAGGGTCCTCGAGCAGTTGTCCGGTCACTGTGTTGCGCGTTGCAATTTGCTGGGGCCTCTCACAAGAGAGGGTCCAAAGTAGGGAGGAGACAGTGGAGCAATTTCTAAGGGACCTTCAAGCAATGGTGGAGAATTGCGAGTACAAGGATCCAGAAGACCAAGTACGTGACAGGTTTGTCGTGGGACTCCTAGACCGAGCAGTGAAGCAAAAACTGCAGCTGATGCCAAATTTGACCCTAGATAAAGCTTCAGCAGTGGCACGCCAGCATGAACAGGTAAAATTACAGATGGTCCAGCAACAAGCTTCCCACCAGGAGGTTAGATAGGCGAAGTTCAAACAAAGAGAACATAGACCAAAGTGGAAGAAAGATGTCAGCAGCCACAAAACAAAACAGAAATGCAACCGTTGTGGTTACGACTGTCACCCACGGGGTGGTAAATGCCCTGCTAGTGGACAGATCTGTAGGTCATGCAATAAGCTTAGACATTTCTCTTCGGTGTGCCGCAGTGGTAAACATCGAGATGAAAATTCAAATGGGGCAACGGACGCAGTGACATCTCAGGATACATCCGAGGGGGAGGAATCATTCTTCCTTGGAACAATTGATTGCCATGAGGAAGAAGCGTGGTATGTACCACTGAACATATGCGGCTCAACTGTAAAATTTAAAATAGACACGGGAGCTGACGTAACAGTAATTTCACACACCATCTGGCGATCATTGAAAAGTCGCCCACACCTGATGCACAACAAGGTCAAGCTCAACAGTCCTGGGGGCCAGCTCACGGTTCTAGGTGCATTTACAGCTGTCATCAATCACAAGGGGAAAGGCTATACATTTCGCGTAGTCGTGATAGATGGAACAGGACCAGTCAGCCTGCTAGCCCGCGGAGTGGCAAAGAAAATGGGCCTAGTTACCCATGTAGATAAAATCTGGAGTCAGTTCAACTCAGATATTGGTCTTTTGAAGACCGAACCAGTCAAGATCAGTTTGGCAGGAGGTGTAACACCACTGTGTGTCACCACCGCACGAAAAGTTTTTCTATGTACTATTTGAAAAAACTATTTCCATGTACGCTCAGAGCTATCGGTGACAAATGGAATAGTTGTTTTACAGAGTAGAATAGTTCTGCTTAGAGCAATGAGGCAGGATGCTTTAGAACGACTACATGAATCACACCAATGCGTCTCGAAGTGCCGTGAAAGAGTCAGGACAGCCATATGGTGGCCGAACATGAGCAACGACATTAAAAACATGGTCGATCAATGTGTGGAGTGTTGACAGAGCAGACATCACAGCGAGAACAACCCCTGCAGCCAATAGAGTTGGCGGCCATAGCAGCAGTTGGGGACGGATCTACTGGAATTCAACAAGCAGACATTTCTGGTAGTGGTAGACTATTACTCTCGTTGCGTCGAAGTGAAGAGGCTGACAAGTCTGACCAGCTCTGCGGTAATTACAAGAATGAAAGCTATGTTTACGGCTTTCGGTATTCCAGATGTAATAATAACGGATAATGGGCCGCAATATACCTCTCACGAATTCCGTCAGTTTGCTAAGTCGTGGGCATTTACTCACAAAACGACCAACCCATACACACCACAAGAGAATGGGATGGCTGAACGCGCCGTGCAGACGGCTAAATACTTACTGAAGCTGGATGATCCAGAGATTGGATTGTTGAACTATAGAGCAACTGCGCATTCAGCTACGGGTGTGTCTCCGTCTATGGCACTACAGGGACGAGAACTCCGGACCAGACTTCCGATACTGGAGCAAAATCTACTGCCAAAGGTTCCGGATACCAGCACCATCCGTCAGTCCGACGAATCAGCTAAAGCCACCTACAAGAGGTGTTATGATGCCAGGAAAGGTGCTCGAATACTACCTCACCTGTCAAGTGGCCAGCCTGCACTGACAAAGCTGGACACGGAGAAGCGGTGGACCAAGTGGGAAACAGTTATCGGTGGTGAGGAAAACAACCGATCCTACATCATTCAGACGAATGCTGGAATTCATCGTCGGAACCGTAAACATATACAAGATACTCCAGTGACATCTAGTGGGCAGAATTCTACGCCACCTCTATCCACACAGCAAGGCATAGTAGTGCCGGCAGCAGAGGAACCGGTTGTTCTTGAACAACCTTTACGCAACATTGCGCCAGGCAACAATGGTCCAGAGTCGAAGGAAGATGCAGATACAGCTTCGCCACATGATGTCAAGCAACAACCTATGGTACCACTCCGGTAGTGATGTCACGATCATCGATTATACTCGATCATCGGTTGAACAGTGGCTCGAACCAAGCGCTTAGTGATGTCACGATCATCGATTATACTCGATCATCGGTTGAACAGTGGCTCGAACCAAGCGCTTGGTTATCAAAATCCATAATCGATTTCATCTTTTTTTTTTTAAACTTGAACAAGAAAACTTGGAAAAGTGATGAAAATCAGAGATATCATCGCTACTTTACAAGTTATCCTTTATTAACATACATGTATTATACACACAGTAGTAAACAGTGCAAAACAAACAGTAAACAGGGCTAAACAAGCACATACATGCACACACGTACATGCGCACGACGTTACGCACACGCAGGCATTCAACATCCCGAGTAACCGATTGTAACCGATCATCGGTTACTTGGGTCCAACCGATGATCGATTACGAAATTACAACCGATTGACAACACTAGGTACCAGTGACCTTCACATCGAGTGGCCGGGCAGTGCGTCTACATCACCGTTTCAGAGACTACAAGGGTTGGTTTAGGGCGACTAAGATCTGCTAAGGGCAGAATAATTCCTGGATCTAAAGTCCAGACAGTGGGCAGTCTACCCTACTGTCTGAATTAGTGTTAAGTGTCGTTTGGTTAGCATTGTTGAAAAGTTAAACTTTTGTCATTCAAAGACATTCATGCTATCGAATAAGATGTTCATCTCAGGGGAAAGAAGATGTCATAATGATTAATGACGGTAGTGCCCTGTAGGAGAGTTGTCTATCCTTTAGTTAGATATTTGAGAGCCAGGGGAGCTACGGGAATTCGGCGTAGCAGTTTGTAATCTCGTATTCTGCTCAGCTACGTTTCCTAAATAAAACGAATCTACATGAAGTTAAATCTCTTGTTTGGGTTACACAATCATGACATTATGCACAAATAAAACAGTTTGAATCTTGAATCGTGAATCTTTAGGTCATTTTATGTCTTGTAATTAACAATTTTAAATAAACTCCTTTATTGTCATCGTTATGCACACATGTGTTATGATCATATGATGCCATTTTGTCAAATCCATAACCTAAAGACCTACCTATATATAAATATGACGAGAACCTCTTCCTTATTAAGCTTTTCTGAAACCGATTCAGCTGTTCAAAGCTGTTTTC